TCGCCAGCTTCATTTGTTAAATATTTTTTGCTAACTAAAATTGCATGCAGAAGTCATGTTATTGCTGCCTTTGACCATCTGTAAAAGATTTTTTATCAGTATTATTGCATTATTGTTTTTTTCTTGTTATTATATTGATGCATTCGAAATATAAATTAGTAAAGAGTTAGGAATGAAAATGTTTAAAATATATTGTACCTTCAGAAATATCAGCTGTATTCTGCCATTCATTAAAAATCTGGCGACTCGAAGTTTCTTTAAGCATTCTATCTATTACTGTTCCAATATTTATAACACATTGGTTCCATTTTGAAATAATTTCATTATTATTTTATCTAAATTTTCGAAAAAAAATGTGGTAACCACAAAAAAGCAACAAATTCTTACTACTTTATCATTTTTGACAGAAGAATTTGTTATTCCATTGCAGGAAACATTCGCGTTTTCTTTATCGTATTTGACTACAAGTAATTGTTGAATTTATTACCTTTCTTCTAGATTTTGTCGCCATTGATCCAGGTGATTCTAAAATCTAATCTTTGCCCCTAGTGAGATGCAAAAAGTTCATCTAGGGGGCGATCTTTTATTATTTTTAAACAGTCAATGTCAATTTCATTTTGAATAAAGGTTTTTACTAAGAACTACATATTCTATTCTTTTAATAGCCGTCTAAACTCTTTATATGATTCTTAGTTACTAATATATTTGAGAATGTGAGTTAGAGAACCAGCAGTACAAAAGGAATAATTATTTCCAAAGCAGGAAGGGAAAATACAAAACTATTTAGTTATTGGTTTCCATCTATTCTACATTTGTAGATACTCCAGTTTCGGGTTAATATAGTATTACATTTGAATTTAAATTCGTCTTAGAAATTAGAGAATTTGAAAGTTAGGAATTGTAATGCAGAAGAAAGCAGGGCAGAATGTAGAAAGTTATTTACAAAAAAGCGATTGGATATTTATGGTTATATTAAATTCAAAGCGGGTAAAAAAGGTAACAGATTTAGGCAGACATCAGTTAGACTACATACTAGTTAGCAAGTGAAGGACTGTAGAAGTTATCCAGGACCAATCTTAAATTGAAAATTCTGAATAAAAAGAAAGGTAGGAGACGTTTTGACTTAGAAAAGCTAAAATGTACCGAAATGCAGGATAGGCTAGGTACAAGGACAGACGAAATAATAAAGGAGGCGGGAGAAACGCATGACAGGGACATACAGACAGAATTAAAACGTGCCTAAAGTCAGCATCTACAAATACACTAGATCTTAAATAAAACGAAAGCAGGAAACCCTGGATAACAAACGAGATAGTAGGACTAATACAAGAGACGAAAATATAAAAACAGAACAGACGAAGAAGGGCAAAAAAGATACAAGGCGATAAAGTGGAAAATAATTAAGACGTATACAGCAGCTAAGGAATGGTGAATTGATATGAGGTATAAAGAAGTAGAAGAAAAGTTTGAAGTAGGTAAAATCTGTAAGGCTTATAATATAATTAAAAGGAATTTTAAAGATGTAGAATACAGTAGTAATAATATAAGAAACGAGGTAGAGGTCATTTTGAAAGAATATGAGGAAAAGAAAGACAGGTGGAATGAATACTTAGAGAACCTATACGCAGGCCATTAGTTAGGAGATACATTAGAAAAGGAAGATAATGTGGAGATAGATGTACTAGGTTATCCCATAATTAGAGAAGAGTTCGATGTAGTATTAAAAAACTTAAAGAATAATAAGGCGCCAGGTATAGGTGGGATGCAGGCGGATTTTTTAAAACATGCAGGATAAGAGGTTAGAGATCGTATGTTTAAGCTAGTTAGTCACATTTACAAGACGGGGAAAGTCCCGGTAGAAGCGTTCGCAATGTGGTGTTACCGGTGAATGATGAGGATACCGTAGATAGAGAACGTTACAAATGAAGAGGTGTTACAAAGAATAGGAGAACAGAGGACTCTACGGAAATCAATAAGAAATAGGCGAGATAGATTAGTAGGACGCCTTCTCAGGCATGAAAATCTAGTCAATATTAGAGGGAGAAACGGCAGTTGGGAGGGGTAGAGGTAAACCTAGATTAGATTAGTGTTCGCAAATAGTTAAGGATGTGGGACGTTCTAGTTTTAGGGTAATGCGAAGTTTAGCTAGGACTAGGAGTGGAGGTGTGTGTCCAACCCTCTTAGGTCTTAGTCTTAGGACTGACAAACTTATGATGATGATGACGAAAGAAGTTATAAATTGTGGAGCAAATTGAAATATTTTTTGTGTATAACCAAATGATTAAAAATCTTGAAGGTTATTTGAATCGGCAGTTTCACGAAATATTAACTTATTTGGGATATTTGAAAATATATTTGAATTTGGCAATTGTGTGGTGTCATTTTTATTTCATTTATCATTAGTGGTTGAGTCATGGTTAGCAATTGTGTGCTTTCTCTAAACATGCCTTTTAAAGCTATTTACAATTTTGGAAAATTTTTTTGCAGCTTACACATTCATTCAGTATTGGATTTGAGACCTTTCAAAAATTATAAATGCTTAAGCAGTACAGGAACTATTAGGGGAAGATCAATTTGGGTTTAGAAGAAATAGAGGAGAAAAGAAAGAAAACGATATAAAACAGAAAGAGTGCATACATAGGATTTGTAGATTTAGAAAAAGCTTTTGATAATAAATGGGACAAGATGTTAAATATACTTAAAAATTAAGTGATGAGTTAGAAAGATAGAAGAGTGATACTTAGTTTGTATAAAGAGCAACAGGCAGCAACGTAGAGAAGTTAATATTAGGACAGGGATGCACACTGTCATCGCTACTTTTTAATTTATACATCGAAGACATCAAAATTATTAATGACAGTATAACTGTAGGGATAGATATACAGGAGAAAAAGTAGGGAAAGAGCTAATAGAAAGATAGAAGATGAAAAATTAGAAGTTGCTGATTTTAGATATTTACGAAGTCAGATAAGTCAGAACGGAAGGAGTAATAGGGATATAAAGCAGAGGATAGCGCAGGGTCGAGTCGCATTCAATAAAGAGAAGTCGCTTCCATGCTCGGGAATGGTTGATTTAGAAATTCGAAAAAGGTTGTTAGATGTGTATGCTTGGAACATGGCGCTGTATGGGTGTGAAACATGAACGGTGGGAGCTGCGGAAAAGAAAAAGATAGAAGCGTTCGAAATGTAGTGTTACATTGATGAGGATACCGAGGATAGAGAAAATTAGAAATGAACAGGTATTAGAAAGAATAGGAGAACAGAGGACTCTATAGAAGTCAATAAGAAATAAGCGAGATAGGTTAGTAGGACACCTTCTTAGGCATGAAAGTCTAGTTAGAGACATATTAGAGGCAGAAACGGGAGTTAGGAGGGGTAGAGGTGGACCTAGATTAGATTACTGTTCGGAAATAGTTAAGGATGTGAATTGTTCTAGTTTTAGGGAAATGCGAAGATTAACTCAGAATAGGATAGAGTGAAGGGGCGTGTCCGACCACTCTTAGGACTGACGACCGCATGATGATAAAATGCTAAATGTACGTAAAAACATTACTCGCATTTCTTAAAAGCTGAGTGCTGATTTTGACAAAATGTTTCACAGAATATAATTAAAAGTTAATCAACACTGCCATCACAGGTAAGTTCTACCAAACGCTTCAATGTTCGCATAATTTTACTTATAGCGTGAGTCTTCATTTTTAAATATATACTTAGGGAACCATTTTAATACTTAGACACAATTAAAATGTCGCTTTGAGTATAGGCGAAAGCGCGATAATTAGATAACATTGTAACACAGCGACATTTTCAGTATATCTGGAGGATGTTTGGTTCCTCCGACAGTGTTAATTGATAATTTTTAACAATATTCTAAGAAACGTTTTGTAAAAATCCGCACTCAGACTTTAAAGAAAGCGAGTAATGTTTTTACATAGGTACTTTTAGCACCTGATATCTGCAAATTGGCCGTCGATCTAAGTTAGCAGGTATGCATATGTTCAAAGTACCTACACTACTCTATCCCACCACTTTTGCTACTGGAAAATAAGTAATATCTGATTGCTCAGGCATTTTGCTCTATAACCGTCACGAGATCAAAACTGCAGCCACACAGGTTAACTCATTATTGTGGCAAATACCACAAATACTAAAGAGAAGTGAAAGATCACTGGGTGGAATAATCCAAGTTTTGAATCATATTTATGAATTAATAAAGTTTAAAAGGATGAAATTTATTTTAGATTAACATTTTGAAATTTAAAAGATTAGGATCAAATAAATGCTACTTACTATAATAAATTTTATCGCCATGTGGTGTTAGATACTAAAAAATTATAATTTTTATCTTGAAAGATTACACATTACACTATAGAGTAATACAGTCCAAGAAAAACAAAAAGGAATTTACCTCAACACTGAAATATGCTTACAAGTGTTTCTCAAGCACTCAACCAAAACCTGATGATTCGTCTGTAATCTACGGTTGGAGGAAAATGACCCCGAAGCCAGCGGAAGAACCTTTTTGATGGGGAGGAAAATTCGTTACTCGAAAACCACCAAACTAACAACAAGGAACAAGCGACGCAAAAATTCAAGAAACAGCCGACTATACAGACAGCCAACCAACAGCCAATAAATGCAAGTCAACCAACAAACCCAATAATACGTAAAGGGATTTTTCGAATAAAAAAGACCGCGTTTAATTTTATGTACTTTACAGCTCCACAACTCTTATGGACAAACCGCGATTCCATTAAATAAATACATAGAATTATAAAGCTTTTGATTTGTTTTATTTATTTACATACCATGTTCGAAATTTTTGCAGTATCGTATCCGACTCTAGAACCATTCTGCCTCATAACAATATACTGTTAACCACTCTATGCCCTTAAATATTCAAGTAATTGAAAAGCAAACAGAAGCCATTTTACTGAGTTTAATTTATTTTATTATTTTAGTTATGTGTACTTATTCATTAATTAAAAACTAATCTTTAAGATTGAAGCTTTACCCGAAATAGTTAAAGCTGTTGGACACCGAGTTGAAATTTACATGGACGGCGGAGTGAGAGAGGGTACTGATGTTTTCAAGGCCTTAGCTCTGGGAGCAAAAATGGTAAAACTATTACCAAATTTAATCTATTAAACAAAGAATTATACAATATACTTAACTTTTTAGGTTTTCTTTGGCAGGCCTGCCATTTGGGGTTTAGCTAATGGCGGTGAAGAAGGTGTAAAAAGAGTTCTTGAAATCATCAAAAAAGAATTCGATAGTGTTATGGGATTAACTGGTAACTATTAAAAATATTTAAAGGCGGTTACACAGACGTCTACTAAAATGCCGTTAATAATAGGTGTTTTTAAATGTTAGATTAATGTACCTATATTATATCAAAAATAGAAACCTTGTATTTAACCGCTCAATGGTACCTATATGCATGAGCGTAGTAGGTTTGTAACTAATTGTAGGACACCAGATTTGAAAATTGCTCGTGTTCCTATAAGGGTACCTCCTTTTTTTTTAACTTCTTGGTATTTGACATAATGAGTACAAAAAAATTATAAAAGTGCTATTAACGCCATTTTAAAACGTGATGGTTTATAACAGTAATGTAATTATTCACATAGTCTTTCAAATTGATACTTAATTTTGATTTTTAGGTTGTTCAACAGTAAAAGACATCCAAAGAGATATGGTGGTACATAAAAATTACTATTCAAAAATGTGAATGAAATGAAATAAAGTGTAGTAAATGTAACTTAGTTTTTTCTGTGACCGAAACTTGCATTATTAACATACAAATGAAACTTCAGTTTTGCATCACGTTTTTGGTTTTTTGAACTTATATGTAACTAGTGTGTTTTCAAATGTTTCTATAAAAAAATGCCAACGAGGAGGTGGGATACATTTCAATGCAAAACATTGGATGGATATTCTGATTCATATTTAAAAAGTGACGTTCTATCATTGCCTGATATTTTTGAAAATTTTCGAAAACAAAGTCTATAAATTGTAAACTAGGTTACAGCGCCTTCTCTATTGGAAATTAGGTATAATGAGTTGATAAATTTATAAATTAAACGCACTAAAATTAATCTTAAATATATGTTTTATTAATCAGCTTTTCGTAGAAAGTATCACATACATCGACACCAAGTGTAAACAAACATATAAGAGAATAAACTTGAAAGAAATGGGATAGAACACGAAGATTAATTTTTGTTTATATATACAGAGACTAGGAGTTAGAGATAGCTTTAAATAAAATTGAAGCGGTATTGAGAAAACAGTAAATGAATAAAAAGTAGGGAAAGAGCGAATATAATGATAGGAGACGAAAGATTAGAAGAAATGACTGATTTTACATATCCAGAAATTCAGATAAGTCAAGATGGAAAGAGTAGTAGGGATATGAAGCAGAGGATGGCGCAGGGTCGAGTCGCCCTCAATAAAAGGGAGTCACTTCTATGCTCGCGAACGATTAATTTAGCAATTCGAAAAAGATTGTTAAAGGTGCATTTTTGGAGCGAAACATGGACGGTAGGCTCGGCGGAAAAGAAAAGGTTAGAAGCGTTCGAAATGTGGTGTTACCGACGAATGATGAGGATACCGTGGATGGAGGTGTAGCGACCAACATAAATTAGAGCACCCTGTATATATAATGTAGTTTTGTAAATATGTAAATCTTTTGTATAATATTCCTTTTCTGTGTAAATATTTCTCAACATTATCTTCTAAAGCTTTTGTATTCTATCCATCTGTTCCAATAACTTTTATTACTGTACTTTCCTATAATCCCTATTAACATTTCAACTTCGCGTACTAACCGCATGACGTCTGTACTTTGCTATCCGTCCTAATTGCTATTTTATGAGGGGTTTCTTCGGTGATTTGGGTTCAACAACTTAATTCTATATTTTCTATCTTCAGCATTTTTCAAATCATATTTTCTTACTATTGGTTCCCTTCTTTTATCTACAACCCTTAGCTCCACCTTCATAACTTTCCTAAATTATTCAAATTCTATATTCTTCAGTTCTAAATCAACCTTCGTTCTACTCTTCTTAGTCTCTAACAGTTATAAAAATAAATATTAGTTTTACCAGACTTTATTATTTTACTATTGAACACGCCAAGAACCAAAGTGGTGACTCCGACGTTAGTTTATACATTTTTCTTCTTTTGTTTGAGTGATAAAAAGTTTTCTTAACGAAACTAAAATGACTACATCAGAAATTGTAAACAATGTAGTGGACAATAGTGCAACAAATGCATTAGAAAATGCGCTTGCGATTAACCGTGTGGCTATTCGTCTACCCTCGTTTATTCCATCTGATCCTGAGTTATGGTTTTCAATGGTAGAGGAAAATTTCTCCACAGCAGGAATTACAACGGAAACGACGAAGTTCGGCTACGTTATAGGTGCACTGGACCAACGTTTCGCCCTGGAAGTGAGGGACATTATAATCAGTAAGCCTACCATTAATCCTTACACAACTTTAAAAACAGAACTTATCAAACGCCTAAGCTCATCGCAAGAACAGAAAACTCGACGTCTGTTAGAGTTAGAGGAGATGGGAGATCGAAAGCCATCTCAATTCCTTCGCCACCTACAAGGACTCGCAGGTTCCGCTGTTCCCGAATTCATGCTGAGAACCTTGTGGTTTAGTCAACTTCCATCCAACATGCAGGTTATCTTAGCTACACATAGAGATTTAGGTCTAACGAAAATCGCAGAATTAGCCGATTCTATCAGTGAATTAACTGCAACTAGGACTGCGAATGTTGCCGAAACTACATCACAAGCTACTCCTTCGGATCTCCTAGCTGCACAGTTACAACAATTGACTCTAGTGTTACAGGAAGAAATTGCATTTATACGCAAAGAAGTGAACGAACTACGGAGTGAAAGATCAAACATTCGTAACTTTCGTACGCGTTCTCGATCTCGTTCTAGACCACGACAGCAAAGTGATGTGTGTTGGTATCATCAAAAATTTGGTACAAAAGCCAACAAGTGTACACAACCGTGCAAGTTTCCGTCGGGAAACTTGATGGGCAGTCGTTAATGGCGGCAGACGACCCATGCCAATCTACACCACGCCGCATTTTTGTAACCGACGTAAGTACAAAAATTCAATTTTTAATAGATACGGGTTCGAAAAAGTTCATTGCTTTCGTAATACTAAAATGCCAGTATGGGTTTAACAAAGTACCATTTGGACTAGCTAATGCACCTAGAGTATTCCAGCGTTTAATGGTTAAAATCTTAAAACCCATTTGCGGGAACGCCGCGTTTTACCTAGATAACGTCCTCTTGTATGCCAGAACTGTAGATGAAGCCTTAGGTAGAACGAAAGTCATTGGAAATTTTTCGCTGTGAACGCTTAACTTTGAACTTAAAGAAATGTTCATTCTTGCAGACTTCAATTAATTATTTGGGATTTAAAATCCAGCAAGGCACAGTAAGACCAGGTGCTGATAAGATTCGGGCAGTGCTTACTTTCCAACACCGTCCAGCGTACACAACATTAGACAATTCCTCGGACTGACTGGTTATTTTCAACACTTTGTAGAAAAGTACGCACTAATTACAAAACCATTGACCAGACTTACAAAGAAGGCCGTTTAGTGGCAATGGACCGAAGCGGAAGACGCAGCATTTAAACAACTACAGTCGAGATTTGTTTCAAGACCAATATTAACGTTGTTTAACGGTCTACACCCCATTGCCATTAACATTCACTGTGGTTACGGATTGTAACGCCATACAGCTACCAGCAAAAACAAGAACATCATGCCTAGAAAAGCACGGTGGTGGCTGGGACTTCAAGAATATACATTCGAAGTATAGTATAGGCCAGGGGCAGAATGAAGCACGTAGATGCCCTTAGCCACGACCCCTGCAACTCAAAAACAACTGATCGCCAAGAATGAGGGCAAGTGCTTCGCATTTAGGAAGCAGACTGGATACTCTCCGCTCAATTAACTGATGAGAAAATAAAAGACATTTGCAGCATACTATCAAAACCTCCGGAGAAAGGATACAAAAGCCACATCTACATGAGCTACTGCCTACCAGATGGTCACGTGTACCGTATCACTGTCAAAGGTATGTTATAGGTGGCTCCAAATAGAATGAGACACCGCATTCTTAAAGCTGTCCACGATGATTTTGGTCACTTTGGGACAGACAAAACTCTCAAACGATTTTGCGAAAATTACTAGTTCCCGAAGATGCGAAGCTACGTAGAACGGGATATATCATGCTGTATACCTTCTTTATACAAGAAAAGGAATTCCGGGAAGAAAGAAGGATTCTTACACCCAATTCCTAAAGGCAAGGAGCCCTTATCCGTGTTCCATGTGGATCATTTCGGTCCTTTTCCAAGGTCAAAGAGGGGAAATTGCTATATCATAGTAAGAATTGCTGCCTTCACCAAGTTTTCCATTTTAAGAGCAGCATGAAACACTCGGATTCTTAAAGCTGACCACGATGATTTTGATCACTTTGGGGCAGACAAAACTCTCAAACGATTTTGCGAAAATTACTAGTTCCCGAAGATGCGAAGCTACGTAGATCGGTATATATCATGCTGTGTACCTTGTTTATACAAGAAAAGGAATTCCGGGAATTAAGAAAGATTCTTACACCCAATTCCTAAAGGCAAGGAGCCAAGGTCAAACAGGGGAAATTGCTATATCATAGTAAGAATTGCTGCCTTCACCAAGTTTTCCATTTTAAGAGCAACATGAAACACTCGGTCGAAGTACGTGATAGACTACTTTAAGCATATTTTTCCCTACATACGGAGTCCTTAAAACACTAATATCCGATCAAAGCAGTTCTTTCACTTCAAAACGGTTTAAGCAATTTTGCCGACAGAATAACATCCGACATGTTATCAATGCGGTGGCTACACTGTAAAACACCGCACACAGTACCACATTAGGACACCAGAACCACCTGCGGCGCACAAACCCCGGTTGATCCCGGATCGCTTATAGGCGACCAAATGAGAATTTGAAGCGATTCTGAAACTAGAGACCGTTAGACCATCCCAGAGCTGCTGGTCTTCTCAGCTTCATATGGTCCGAAGAAAGGCGAGGAAAAGCGTCCATGCAGCGACTAACGAAGGCTCAACGCAGGCTGGAAGAACCGTATTTTCAACGATTAATCTGATCAAAGACTACCATCAGATCCCGGTTGCTCGAGAGAATATCTGTAAAGCAGCCACAGCAACGCCGTTTGGGCTGTTCGAGTTCTCCTTCAAGTCGTTCGGTCTATGAAATGCGGCGTAGGCATTCCAGCGCTTAATCGACGAAGTACTGCGTGACCTGGATTTCTGCTACTCGTATATCAACTACATATTGGTGGCTTCAACAACACCCGAAGAACACTTTGCCCATCTAGAAACCGTTTTCCGTCGCCTGCAGGACTACGGAGTTGTCATCAATCCGACAAAGTTCAAATTCGGACAATCTGAGGTAAACTTCCTGAGATACCTCGTCACCAACAAAGGGACAGCACGACTTCCGGAAAGAACCGAGGCTATTTTATTTCTTTCACGGTCATCTACCGTCAAAGAACTCCGGCAGTTCTTGGTAATGGTAAATTTATATAGGAGATACATCCCCAAGGCTGCAAGTCTCCAGACACCTCCCAACAAACTCCTAAAGGGCGACGTTAAAGGCAAGGCACCACTTACATGGGCATTGGAAGCAACCGCTGCATTCGATGCGACCAAAAACCCCTTGGCAACCGCGACGCTTCTCGCACATCCGGTAACGGAAGCACTACTGGCGATTTTCTGTGATGCGTCAAATTCCGCAATTGGAGCGGTATTACAGCAATACGTCGATCGATCATGGCAACCATTATCTTTTTTTTCCCGGAAGCTGAAATCTTCGAAATATACCGCCTACGGCAGAGAATTGCTTTACCATATACACCGATCACAAACCCACCACCTACGCGTTCGAGAAGAAAGATGGTGTCTGCAGCCCACGTCAGTTCCGGTACCCGGACTTTGTCAATTCTCGACGGTTTTGTATATATTTTCTGTCTCATATCATTAGTATATAGTGTGTAAATAAATCGTTAAAAAACAAAAAGGAACTATTAGAAGTGTATCAAGTGACACCCAACGCGTGGGGCCAGTGAAAAGGTATTAGCGTAATATAATCGTGTCCATGCCTTTCCTGAGCCATTTATATCCAGGATCTTATTAAAAGCTTCCAAATTACTTAGAAGTTCTTCTATATAAACTCAACTATGTATTATTACGATTTATTGGTATAAAACTAAGTCTGCCTTTGGTAACAGCCGATGTCGATGAAGATCTCCCTTCCTGTATCCTACCAAAAAGGAATATATGGTTGAGTTACATAATCAGTTGAATTAATCGCCCTATTTAGTTTATATTTCAAATATTCACAAGCAGGTCTGTAAATAGCAAAATGATTTACACACCTACTCTTATTGTTGCGGATGTTATAGAATATGCAATTGATGCATTTCTTAACAGAGTTGATTCAAAACTTGGTATCATGGTCGGTAGCGCCAATTAAACATTTTGCTTCATTACTCATTTTTGTTTATTGTGGTTTGTTATCCCATGCTCGTAGCAGATATTTAGATCTAGGACATCATGCACACGACAACACTGATGCCCAACATAAAGCTTATTACCCGCACTTTTTATATCAAGATAAATATCGAGCGAGACCTAAGAATAACGGTGCATTTATTACTTCCGTTTTTATAATCAGCAATATCAAGCATATTATTGTTCCTATTGCCTATGTCCTCTTGAAATTTGTTCTTATTCATATCATTTATCTATATCATTTAGTTTAATTTTAGGCAGATTCTTTTTCTCCTGGTTTACACAATAGTTTTTCCCAACATTTCCCTCAGAATCATCATCGTCCTAGATACATCTTGCATTTGCATTTAACTATAACATCACCTCCCTTTGTAGACTTGACAGTATTATGAATGTTTAACACATTCATATGTCTTATCATTATTTTTATCTATTGCTTAAATAAAGATACTTGGTACATTTTCAAGGCTTATATCACTGATACTTTTAGGTTTTATTTCCTGTCATTTTTATCCAGCATTTCAATGTCATTATTTGACTTTAGGTCTTCGTCATGATGATCCGGGCACACACGCAACAACTTGCTCATATAATATCCTTTTTTGTATTTATTTAAGTCTCCTTCGTGATAAACATTATCACAGATCAAACAGACAACTATTTTCAGAACTTTTAAATTTGTGTAACACTTACCGAGGTCTGTAATATCGCGAATTTTGTTTTTTCAAAAATTATTTATTTATTCATGAATATCTATTGTCTCCTTCAAAGTAATCCCCACCAGATATTATACACTTGTGCCAACATTTTTTCCAAATCTCGAAGCACTTCAAAAAATAATTTCTTGTGATCTTGTTCAGCTCCTCCTTCAATGTCGCATTTATCTCCTCAATCGTCGAGTAGCGTCGTTCCTTCATAAGCCTCTTCAGTTTTGGGAACAAGAAAAAATCACAGGGGGCAGACCTGGGAAGTACGGTGGCTACGGCATTATTAGTGTGTAGTTTTTGATTAAAAATTCGCGCACAAGCAACGATGTGTGAGAAGGGGCGTTATCATGGTATAAAAGCCAATTTTTCTTTTTCAACAATCTAAGAAAACTGTAAGCAAAACCTTCACATTCGACCTAAGTTGGCACGCTTCTTTCGGTCTTAGCTCGTGCGACAGTTTCCATTGGGAGGATTGAGCTTTGGTTTCCACGTCATAACTATAAACCCATGATTGGTCACCAGTTATGACCCTCAGGAGAAAATATTGGTCGTCGCGGACAGAGTCCAACAGCTCCTTAGCAATGTTAATGCGATGCTGTTTTTGGTCGAAATTGAGCAATTTTGGTACGAATTTTGGACCGTCTCATGCTCAAATCATCGGTAAAACTCGAATGGCAGAAGCTAATCGATATATATATATATATATATATATACCTAAACATAGGTCCTCGGCAACTTCCCTAACGGTGATTCGACGATTGGCCAATACTATTTTCTTCACTTCATCAATGTTTTCTCTGTTGTTGACGTGCTCGGGCGTCCGGTACGCCCTTCGTCGTTCGCATCTTCTCCGCCCTCTGAGAACATTTTGTATCACCGATAAATGTTACTTCGGTCCAAGGTAGCTTCACCATATACCGCAGTCAACATTCAGAATGCGTCCGCGCACTTAACTTTGTTTTTCACAAAAATTTGATACAGATTCTTTAATTCATTTTTTGGAATAGACAAAAATCAAAACGAGTCAAAACACGTGAGAAACATGAGTACCAACATAACGCCACAAAAAAATCGAAAATGGAAAATACGTAACCCGCGGAAATTGAAAATTCGAGATACTTTTTGAACAGACCTCCTAAAAACGTTTACAATTTTGTCAGGAGGCACTACTACTGCCTCCATAATTACTTCTTTAATAATCGCGGCCGACAACAATTCAATATAAAAATTTTTAAAATTTTGAATTTCAACGTATACCGAAGACAACAGCAGACATTCTGTTATGTATATATTGGGTCTCTTTTTCCTATTTTAAATAAATCTTTTGTACATTTTTCGTTTTGAACAAAATCTTAAAACTCTTCGCAATGATCGTTCCATTTTGAATATAACACTCTTCCAAGAAAATTCAGCGATTCTATATAACGCCATATAGAAAAATTGTTGTCTTTGGAAGGCCTTTTACTGTAATATCTAAATATCTCATACATGTATTAAAAAGTAATGGTGAAAGTAGTGCTCCTTGTGAGACCCCGCCTTTTGCTTGTCTTAAGCTTGATTGAGACTTTCCTAGTTTTTAGAGCGCCCGATGATTAAGCTTATAAACGCTTTGTTCGAAAACATCCTGTTATTATGATTATTAGTAGGTTAGAATATTTTTATAGTGATAAAGTTCCAATATATTTCGTATAGTTAATCATTAAGTAAAACTACTTAAGCAATGCTTTAATTGATTTATTTAGGTCTAATTTTTTCATAAATAAACTTTTGTTGAGTCTGAATTTGTTTTTTAATGAAGTGAAACTGTTCGAGTGCAAATTCGTAGAAATCGTTTTCCATTTGCCAAACCGGTGATTGTTTTAGTATATTAATTGTTTCTTCTGATGGTGGCGTTTTCTGAATCGTTTGACGTAAATGAGACTTATTGCTTTTCATGAAATAATCAACTGCTCCACTAAACATCCTGGGCAAACTTAATTCTAATACTTGCACAAAATCTTTTAATTCTTCTGTTACGCCAACAACAAGGTAGTTATTGATTAGATTCTTCTTGGCTTCGGTAAGCGCCCATTTACTTGCAGGTTTCCTTTAAAATGAAGAAACATAAGAGCATTTTCGAAAATATTTCAAATATTTAATTTTATCCGTGCAATTAAAAATTAAAGACAGTTAAAACAGTTAAAATAAATGAAACGGAATGCTAAACTACTTAACAATGCCTATCCAACTAATAAGTACATAAACATTTTTAATAACAAAACATTCAGTTTAAGTTTCGTTAAATAATCCAATAATAAATTGAAGACGTTTCGAAGGTTAGCTTACGCAAGGGCATTGAATACGAGTAGTAAATAATGTCGCTTGATTGACCGAAGTTTACCTGCGTTACTCATAAGACAGATTGGTTGATATAATTTCCTTTGCCTTAGTCTAACCACTCGACCAGCGTTACTTCCTAAAAACTACTTTCAGAGAAGAGGATCAAATTGTCATGTTTAGACTTCAAGTTAAATAAAATTACTTTACTTCCGTAGTAACCAACTGGTTAAATAATTAATATCTGTATATATATATAAGAAAGTCGTCTTAGTTACACCATTTATAACTCAAGAACGCCTGAACCGATCTAGCTGAAGATTGACGGGGAGGTAGCTTACAACTGGGAGGACATAGGATACCTTTTATCACGTTCCACGAGTAAAACGTGGTATTTGTAAACGCAACTGACAATACTCAAATGAGCAAAACGAAAAATTTATAAATGAAATCATCAGTCTAGCCGTTCATTTGTTAAAAATGTTATAACAAAACACAACTGACATGGAATAACAAAACGCAACTGACACCTAAACGTACTGTTGTCTACGGTTAAGTACGGTTGAAAATTTAACAATTTAAAATTTTGAAGTTGACCGGTTGATGTAATTGTTTCGAGTTTTTATTAGCTTACTGTGTCGATATTATCATTAACAATACCATGCCGCGACCAAGACGATCAAATCTTTCCCGATATAGCCTTAATGCAAGTAGGATTCGAAACATTGCGAATAAAAGGACTGAAGAATAACAAGAAATTGCACGTGAATAGCGCCGCGTTAGTATGGCTCGACTTCGTGCTTCTCAATCACAAGAGTAAAGCGAGGAAGCCCGTGAAACGGCACGGTTGGCAATGCGAAATCGTCAGGCAAATCTCAGAAATCAACAACTAGATAATTTTTGACAAACAAGAAGAAATTTATCAAGTACTGATTTGAATCGAGCAGCATTTCGATACGATTGCAGCACCGATTACTGCTTGCATACTAGCGTTCGCATTGGGCCAATGGACGTATTGTGGCACATTGAAGTTTTCCGGAGAAACGCCAGGATTGTGCTGCCTTAGTGGGAAAGTGAAATTGCCATTATTGACTCCGCCACCTAAGCCATTGCATTCATTGCTTCGTAGCGAAACACCCGAATAAACACTCAAAAATACAATAGTTGTTTCCAAATGACTTCATTTGGGGCAGACATTATCGAAGAACGAGGATTTAATCCAACATTCAAGGTAATTATTTGTTTATTTATTTTTGTAATTACACACAATACCGTAGAAGAATAACATACTATACTTATTCCTACGTATTATGTATGCTATTCAGTAATAATAATCAGTAATACTGACTATACTTCTGATTTTGTAGATACAAGGACAGATTCACCACCGAATTGGATCATTGCAACCTCTTGGAGATGCACAGCATAAATTTTTACAAATATACTTCATGGACAACATGGAGGAACAACTTGATCGACGTCAAGAGATCAATGCAGCAATGAAAACAGCAATTCTTCGAGATCTGCAGCAACTACTTCATGAACATCATGCATTGGTCAGGCTGTTCAAGAGTGCTTTGGAGCGCATGCCAAATGATGATTACAAAGTCGTGATTAGAGCGGATAAACGACCATCTGGATCACACGAACGCACATTTAACGCTCCAACAATAGATGAAGTTACCATCCTGATTGTTGGTGAAAACTTGGAAAGACGCGATATTGTGCTTACACGTCGCGATACTGGGCAACTGCAACAAATATCTGAAACACATCGTTCATATGACACGTTACAATACCCGTTGATGTTTTGCCAAGGAGAAGATGGATATTATTTTAATATCAAAATGAAAAATCCATTGGATGGTGAAACTACCAAGAAAGTTAGCTCGATGAATTATTACGCATATCGTTTGATGATTCGTCAAAATGCTGATAACTACTTGCTGCGGTTTCGTAGATTACTTCAGCAGTATTACGTCGACATGTACGTCAAAATAGAAACGGAGCGCTTAACTTTCATTCGGTTGAACCAAGCCAAACTGCGTTCTGATGAGTATATCCATTTACGTGATGCAATTAGTACTGAAGGAAATGCAGCTAATATTGGTCGATTAACCATTCTGCCGGCGACGTCATTTGTCATTACTGTCGGCCAGATCTCTTTATTACTTTTACCTGCAATCTAAAATGGATAGAAATTGTTCAATTGCTGCTTCCCGGACAAACATCAAGTGATCGACCCGACATCACAGCCGTGTATTCAGGCAAAAAATGCGGTCCCTGATGAACTACATTGTTAAACAACGCCTCTTTGGAGATACTCGATGCTGGATGTATTCAATCGAATGGCAAAAACGAGGCCTGCCGCACGCACACATTCTTATTTGGTTAGTGGAAAGAATTCAACCAGACCAAATAGATGATATCATATGTGCCGAGATTCCCGATCACGAAGTCGATTCAGACCTACATGATGTTGTAATTACAAATATGATTCATGGACCGTGTGGCGCCATCAATCCCCAATCACCTTGCATGGTAGACGGAAAGTGTATGGAAACGATATCCACGGAAAATAACGGCGGAGACCGTCACTGGCAACGATGGTTATCCAGTGTATCGGCGTCGATCACCCGATGATAACGGTCGCACTATCACCACAAAAGTGAAAAGAATGGATTTCGTGGTCCACAACAGTTGGATTGTTCCATATTCGCCACTTATTTCCAAAACGTTCAAGACACATTGTAACGTTGAGTATTGCATCTGGAGAATGGTCAACGAGTATATTTCACGGATTCAAATATTCTTCAACGTGCTAAAACACCTCCAGCGACATTGACCAGTTTCTTTGCGATCTTCCAAAGCGATCCGTTCGCACGAACTTTGCTTTATTCGGAGATACCACATTATTACACTTGGAATGCTTCATCGAAGAATTTTCAACGACGGAAGTAAGGCGATACGGTTCTAGGTTATCCGAATGTGCGTTCTACTGATGCTCTTGGTCGTATGTATACAGTTCATCCAATGAATGATGAATGCTTCTATTTGCGGTTGTTGCTGGTAAATGTCCGTGGGCCAACGTCATTTGAGTCACTACGGACTGTTAATGGTACAATATTCCCAACATATCGTGCATGTGAAGAACTCAATTTACTAGAAAACGATACCCCTTGGGATACGACAATCGTTGAAGCAATTATCTGTGCATCTCCAAGTCAGATACGCACATTGTTTGCTATCATCATTTCGACATGCTTTCCATCAAACCCATCTAACTGTGGCACAAATACAAGAATAATATGTCAGAAGACATTTTACATCAAATTCGTGTCAGTTCAAGAAATCCCAATCTTGAGATGAATGAGGAAATAAATAATCGGGCTTTGCTCTTGATCAAAGACATGTGTTACCTTATGTGCGGTAGTTTATTAGTCAGGTTAGGAATGCCAACTCCAAATCGTGAAATGAATGACACATTTAATCGAGAATTGGAACGGGAACGTGAATATGATCATCAGGAATTAAATGTAGTAGTTCAAACGTATGTAACCCTGTTGAATCCCCAACAAAAGGAAGTTTATAGTACATCAATGAAGGCAATTGATGAAGGAAATGGTGGTTTATATTTCCTGGATGCCCCTGGTGGAACTGGTAAGACATTCATTCCTCATGTCAGTAGTTTTAGCCACTGTTCGTGCGAGATCCAACATTGCGGTTGCAGTTGCTTATTCTGGAATAGCAGCCACATTGTTAGAAGGATGCCGTATGGCTCATTCAGCATTAAAATTGCCATTAAATCTTCAAACTATTGAAGAACCAACATGTAATATTGCAAAACACTCCGCAATGGCCAAAGTTTTATCAGCATCGAAAATCATCATCTGGGACGGTCACAATGACGCATAAACATGCATTGGAAGCACTTAACCGAACATTGAAAGATCTACGCAATGACTCGAGATGTTTTGGAGGCGCAATGATTTTACTGTCTGGCGATTTTCGTCAAACACTGCCAATAATTCCAAAATCAACTGCTGCCGACGAAATAAATGCTTGCCTCAAATCATCGAATCTATGGCGCTATGTTAAGAAACTTCAGCTAACAACAAATATGAGAGTTGCATTGCTGAACGATACATCTGCTGCAGATTTCTCTGAGCAATTGCTGACTATCGGTAACGGTCGAGTGCCCGTCGACGAATCGAGCGGACTGATTTCATTTCCTTCGAATTTCTGTAAATTTGTCTCATCGAAAGACGAACTCATCAACAAAGTATTCCCAAACATTATTACTAACCACAAAAATAATGAATGGTTGAGCGAGCGAGCAATTTTGGCGGCTAAGAATAGATACGTAGACGACTTGAACTACATAATTCTGAATAAGATTATTGGTATACTGCATTCATTCAAATCTATTGACTGTGTAACAAATGAAGAAGAAGCCACCAACTATTCAATTGAATTTTTAAACACATTGGATGTGCCTGGCTTACCACCGCACAATTTACAACTAAAGGTTGGTTCCGTAGTAATCATGCTTCAAAACATAAACCAACCAAAACTGTGCAACAAGGTCAATCCTTGAGAGTTTGTGATCTGAATTTAGAAAATCCATGTTTTTCCCATGGTCAATTATATAGGGTTGTTCGGAAAGTCATTTCGTTTTTTTTTGTGGAAATGTAAGACAGTTTTCATATTATAAACAAATACTTTATAATATGAAAACNCCAACTCCAAATCGTGAAATGAATGACACATTTAATCGAGAATTGGAACGGGAACGTGAATATGATCATCAGGAATTAAATGTAGTAGTTCAAACGTATGTAACCCTGTTGAATCCCCAACAAAAGGAAGTTTATAGTACATCAATGAAGGCAATTGATGAAGGAAATGGTGGTTTATATTTCCTGGATGCCCCTGGTGGAACTGGTAAGACATTCATTCCTCATGTCAGTAGTTTTAGCCACTGTTCGTGCGAGATCCAACATTGCGGTTGCAGTTGCTTATTCTGGAATAGCAGCCACATTGTTAGAAGGATGCCGTATGGCTCATTCAGCATTAAAATTGCCATTAAATCTTCAAACTATTGAAGAACCAACATGTAATATTGCAAAACACTCCGCAATGGCCAAAGTTTTATCAGCATCGAAAATCATCATCTGGGACGGTCACAATGACGCATAAACATGCATTGGAAGCACTTAACCGAACATTGAAAGATCTACGCAATGACTCGAGATGTTTTGGAGGCGCAATGATTTTACTGTCTGGCGATTTTCGTCAAACACTGCCAATAATTCCAAAATCAACTGCTGCCGACGAAATAAATGCTTGCCTCAAATCATCGAATCTATGGCGCTATGTTAAGAAACTTCAGCTAACAACAAATATGAGAGTTGCATTGCTGAACGATACATCTGCTGCAGATTTCTCTGAGCAATTGCTGACTATCGGTAACGGTCGAGTGCCCGTCGACGAATCGAGCGGACTGATTTCATTTCCTTCGAATTTCTGTAAATTTGTCTCATCGAAAGACGAACTCATCAACAAAGTATTCCCAAACATTATTACTAACCACAAAAATAATGAATGGTTGAGCGAGCGAGCAATTTTGGCGGCTAAGAATAGATACGTAGACGACTTGAACTACATAATTCTGAATAAGATTATTGGTATACTGCATTCATTCAAATCTATTGACTGTGTAACAAATGAAGAAGAAGCCACCAACTATCCAATTGAATTTTTAAACACATTGGATGTGCCTGGCTTACCACCGCACAATTTACAACTAAAGGTTGGTTCCGTAGTAATCATGCTTCAAAACATAAACCAACCAAAACTGTGCAACAAGGTCAATCCTTGAGAGTTTGTGGTCTGAATTTAGAAAATCCATGTTTTTCCCATGGTCAATTATATGTGGCATGTTCACGGATCGGAAAACCATCTGTGTTATTTGTTCTTGCACCTAATAATAACACCAAAAATGTGGTTTATCACAAGGTGCTTCACTGAATCATTAAAATAATTGATTTTTTAATTAATATTTATTATCCTAATAAAAATAAAATCCAAGATCTACTCATTTACTGCCACTAAGGCGGAACAAAGTTCGCCGGGTGGATTAAGGATTGCGGAAAACGTGAAATCTACGAATGCTCTATAAAGGGAAAAATGGCAAGAATACCTTTTCCAAAAGAATCGACAAACAAATCAAGTGCAATACTTGATCTCATTCACACGGATGTTTGCGGCCCAATGCAAACAGTCACACCAAGCATAAAGGATACATTTTAACAATTATTGACGATTTCTCTAGATACGCATGGGTAAATATTATGAGTCATAAAAATGAAGCAACATCGTTCATAAACAATTATGTTAAAATGATGGAAACGCAACTTGGCAAAAAAAAACCAAAGTTATAATATCTGGAAGAGAATACATAAATAAAGATCTAAAGGGTTTCTTGAGAAAAGAAGGAATAAAGACACAATATACGACAGCTTATTCACCACAACAAAATGGGGTCGCCGAAAGGAAGAATCGTTCTTTGTTGGAAAAGGCAAGATGCATGTTACTGAATGCAAACATGGAAAACAAATATTGGAGTGAAGCTGTAAATACGGCAAATTACTTGCAGAATAGATACCTACCTACCAAAGCGACAAATAAGACTCCTTTCGAACTGTGGTACTCAACGAAGCCTGACGTAAGAAATTTACACATTTTTGGTTGTGGAGCTTACGTTCACATTCACAAAGAACAGAAAAAAAAAATAGACAATAAGGCTGAGAAATATACTTTCGTTGGATATTCGGAAGAATCGAAGCCATTTCGTCTTTTAAATTTGGAAACAAACCAAATCAAGATTAGCCGAGATGTAATATTTCTTGATAAGGAGTGTGATGGAAACATGATAACAACTAAGGAAGATTAAGTAACATTCTATAGTGGAAACCGATAATCAGGAAGACGAAAGCGAGGATGACGGATAAGATTCAACAACTCAAGAGGAAAGTGATCCAAGTGAAAGTGATCCAACCTATAATCCGGAAGATTCGTATAGTGACGAATCCGGAAATGAACAACCACTTGTGCAGTGCATTCGGAAAGAAAAAATTGCGGAGTACCGCCGGATAGGTACATCGCGAGTTTAAAACTAGTGAAAGACGATGAACCCGGTTGTTTCAAAGAGGCGGTTTCGGGAGCTGATGGTGAATGTTGGTTGAGGGCAACGGACGAAGAAATGAAGGCCGAGGGATATATTCAAGGTAACAAAGATTTTCTTTATAAACTCAAAAAGGGAATTAATGGCTTGAAACAGGCTGCAAGAGTTTGGTATGAGGAATTAGATGCTTTACTTAAACAGTATGGGTTTGTTCAAAACAATAATGATTCATGTTTATACATAAAAATTAATGGAAAGGAAATTATCTAGTTGGTTGTTTATGTGGATGATTTTTTAATTGCTGCCAAAAATGTACAAACAATAGATAAAAATGCAAACTTCATTAAAAAATGTTTTAGTCTTATAGATTTGGGTTTTGTAAAGTATTATTTAGGCGTAGAAATAAGAAAAATGCCAAGGAATTTATCTGTATTAAGCAAACTAAGTACATTGAAAAATTGTTACGCAGATTTGGCCTAGAAAATGCAAAATTATCGAATGTTCCTCTAGATCCGGGATATTATAAAACAAAACTTGATAAAATCGCAATGCCCAACAGCGAAAAATATCAGCAACTGATAGGTGCATTGTTATACATAGCAGTTCATACTAGACCAGACATTTCAGCAAGTGTAGCAATATTAAGTCAACAAAATAAGAATCCAACACTAACCGATTGGACTGAGGCGAAACGAATTTTAAGATATTTAAAGAGAACCAACAATTATGAATTACGATTAGGAAAAGGGGGTTCAGAAGGTCTCGTGGACTTTGCTGATGCCGATTGGGCGGAAGACAGGTCTAATAGAAAATCAAACAGTGGGTTTATTTTCCAATATAATGGTTCACCGATCAGTTGGGCTTGTCGAAAACAGTCATGCGTAGCTTTATCAACAACTGAGGCTGAGTATGTAGCGTTAGCCGAAGCAACGCAAGAGGGGCTTTGGTTAAGAAATCTAATTGAGGATTTTGAACAAAGAAAGGGGAAATTTGTTGTTTATGATGACAATCAAAGCTGTCTTAGTCTCTTAGAAAATAAAAAATTCAGTCATAGAACAAAACACATAGATACAAAATTTCATTTTATCAGGGAATTAAAACATAGAGACATTGTTGAATTCAAATACTGTACAACAAGTGATATGCCAGCGGATATGCTGACAAAAGGTCTAAAAAACAAAGCTGCAGTTCCTATCCGAGAAAATTGGTTTAATTAAAAACTATTTTTTTTTGAAAATCGTTGAAGAAGAGTGTTAGAGTACAACGATTTTATAATAATGTAAATTCGTAGAATCACTAATTAAGTGTTATATGTAGCTTAGATTAAGAAAACAAGCCATGACTTGTANTGTATCAAAGACGCGGTTTCGGGAGCTGATAGTGAATGTTGACATAGGGTCTAAACAAAACAAAATTGCAGTTCCTATCCGAGAAAATTGGTTTAATTAAAAATTAGTTTTTGTTGCAAATCGTTGAGGAAGGGTGTTAGAGTACAACAATTTTATAATAATGCAAAATCGTAGAATAACTAATCAAGTGTTATATGTAGCTTAGATTAAGAAAACAATCCATGACTTGTATCAATTTTTTCTTATTAAAAGTTTATGTTTTGTCTGGTTCGAATCCTGTTCACATTATAGCAGTTGTAAGAAACACGTTGTACAAAAAGCTTGTCATAGAAGTATATTAAAATTGTAACTCATTATTGTTCAAATACTCTAAAGTTAAATAAAATTACTTTACTTCCGTAGTAACCAACTGGTTTTAATATCTGGAATAAACAATTATTTAAATAAAATCGAACAGAAGGTTCAATTTTATTTTATTTCTTCGACGGCGAAAGGGCTGGTGGCTAAACGGTCGACGGCGAAATAGTCGCGGAGAAACGACGGTGGCGAATCAGCTGCGGCGAAACGTCACAGACCCTCGTGTGATGGAATTGCTTCCTAATGTTTCGCTAGCGCGCCCAGCATCGAAGGTGGAAGGACCTCTGAAGACGCTTGCCACTAGTGCTAACGAAATGGTAGCAAGCAACTCGCAACACACAACGGCCTTTAGTGCTCAATCAGTTCATCTACTGATCCTTATGATACCTCCAATTTTCTTTACTCACAATCAGACAAAAATACCATAGAAGAAAACAAAAATGAAAATTTTCACACACAGGCCTCGACCAACAAAAATTGACAGAGACTACACAAGTTACCTATCATAACAAAACAAGTGACGGTTCACCTGTTTACAAAAAAAAAGTTCTGTTACAGCAAAAACATAAACACGAAATTCAAAATCAAATCAAAAAAAAATTTAATGGACACGTTATCAAAACCTTCTATTTCCCCTTATACATCTCCTATTTGGATAGTACCAAAAAAGATGAAAGGATCAGGACAAAAGAAATGGCGTAATGGTTATTGACTTTTGCGAACTTTAACAAAAAAGCCATTAGAAGACGAATACCCTTTATCACGAATTGAGGACATTTTAGATTCTTTAGGAAAATGTTCTTATTACTATATTCTAGACTTAATTTCTAGCTTTCTACAAATCCCTCTTCATAAAGAGAGTACTTCTTTTTCTATTGACAACGATCATGACGAGTAAGTACCTATGCCGTTTGGACTAAAAAACGCACCCGATACATTCTAACGGATATTGGACACTGTACTGCGAGACTATTTGTACTTTGCTTTTATTTATATGGACATTGAAATATTTTTAAAATCCTTACAGGAACACTTAATTCGCTTAAAACAAATATTTCAAAGATTGTAAAGGTTTTTTTGTGTAAAAAAATGCGTTACTCTATGAGTTGTTTATTCCCTGTTTATGGTCTTTTCACCAGGTGTGGGTTTGGTTTTTTGTGTGTTGGCTTGGTACGATTTTTGGCCTAGGTGACTACGAAGATGAATCAGGTTTATTCACGCTGTTGCTGTGTAACGCTGCTTAGCTGAGGGGTAGCGTCACCATCAAACATTCGAGAAGATATCGATTACCTAGTTTCGATGCGGAAATTTTTTCCTTGAATTTTGTATGGTGTGTGAGCCATGCCCTGTTCTTTTGTGGGCAATTTTTAAGACCTGGTGAAGCCAGCCTTTATGACCCTTCTTCCGTTCTCTTGTTCGAGAGTATTGTTGGAGGACTTTTCCCGTTTTTGACGGTAGTTTTACTTGTTTTGGACCAGCTTGACCGGTTTACCGTTCGACGATTGAAAATCTGCACACCTATTTGCAACTCTTGTCGATGTTTTGTGAAAGCACAGTTTCCCTGGTGAGGAATTTTAGCTATGAGATTCACCCAATGCGTTCGCTCTCCTCGGAGGAGGATAGTACTAATATACATAGGTGTCATGTTAAAGATTTAAAGTCATTTTACGACGTCGCCTTAGATATTAATGTAGTCCCTCCGAACATTCCTAATGAGAAGGGTTACTTTTTTTTTGTACCCGATTGGTCGTTCTCTTTCTTGTCTATTCCTCTCCTTCCTCACACCTTCGATAAAGGGTGCTTTCTGCCTTCACCGTGTATATATAATTGTTCAGGAGTCCTGCTGTCCTTTCTGCTTCTATTTCACATGATGCAGCTGGGTAAATTTCAAATTCTTGTCTCCAACTTATTCCAATCAATTAGTCTTTCTCCGATTATTCTTCGGCAGTATGTCTGTGTGTGTATCAGCCAACATCAATTGAGGAGTACCCTTTCATTTCACATCAGTACCAGACATCTCTTTAGGAATAACAAAATGAAATCAACTTTGTCATATGGCCCTGATGGAATTCCACAATTACTCATCAAACAATGCCCAGATGCACTTGTACAACCTTTATTTATTCTTCTTTAAGTAAAGAGCTTTTTCCTACCTTTCGTATTTCATATGTATATCAAACCCATATATAAAAAGGCTCGAAGGGACTTAACATCAAACTACCGCATCATTGCGTTGGCTGATTCTATTTCTAAACTATTTGATTTAATTATGTCAAATAAGCTAAGTACTATTTTAAATAACTTCATTCCAGCAACTCAGCAGGTTTTACTGAGGGAAGATCAACTTGTACTAACTTGTCTATATTTAATGAGCATGTTATACACTCATTTAATAATAATGCTCAACTGGATGTCTAATCAGATTTAAGTGGTGCACTTGATTCCCCCAGTCACAAGCTTTGCTGACTGAACTGGGGAAGTATAACTTAGACGACAGCACACTGCAGTTGTTTCGTTTATTCACTAGCGATAGAAAAATGTATGTCAAAATTGGTAAATTTACTTCTACTGAAATTATTGCCTCCTCTGGAGTACTCCGAGGTGCCCACTGCGCGCTTCTTTTAACATCGCCGTCAGTTCAATTTATACAGTCCTCAATAAATCATATATGCTTCAGTTCGCTGACAACTGGAAAATATTCCTACCTACTAGATCTCTGGAGGACGCAGCCGATTTTCAATTGGATATCAATTCTCTCTCGGACTGGTTAGTTAGGACAAGTCTTCGTTTTCAAGTGCTTAAATATGCAATTATGTCTTACTATAGTGGCAATACTAATACTATAATAACGTTCAACTACAATTAAACAACCAAAACATAGAGTTTCTGAGATACGTGACATCGGAGTTATCTTCGATGATCATCTTTCATTTAATAGTCACATTAATCATATAATATTTAAGGCATCACGGTCACTCTTCTTCATTTCCCGTCAATCAAGTGATTTTAGACAAGTTAATACCCTTAAAAAACTTTCCTATGCCTTTATTACATCAGTTATAGCCTACGCCAGTCCGATTTGGACACCTTTACTGGCATGTCGATTCCATCGTCTAGAATCTGTACAGCACAAATTTCTTAGACTTATAGGCCCTTCGTTTAAGCAAACATATGAACAAATTTGATCACAACTATTTACCCATAGCGTCAGATATATTATTTCTTATAAAAATTTTAACGCCCCACAAAAAGGTCTCTTATAATTTTTTGATATATTTGTTCCCTCAAAAGTTATTCAACGTTAAAGTTGGATTAATGATAAATTTTTAGATTTTTCCAATTTTTCGACGCAACCAACAAGTTTATGAGAAACTTTATAGTACATGTTTTCACAGTATTTTTTTTTCAGCATCTTCGATATAATTAAGAAAAAAAATTAATCTCTTTTTTTGAGTCTATTATTTATAATGTTTATACACCTAATTTTTCTGTATAAGTTACCTAGTAATAAATATCGTATCTACTAAAACTATAGTACAAATTGAATTTATTCTATAATATTTAAAAGGTATCTTTGGAATAATCTTTCAATACATCAGTCATTTTCAGTAATAAAAATCTCCTGGACCTGTTATTAATTTCTCTTGATACCTGAATTCTTCTCGTTCATGAGGTTTTTGACTTATTTTTATTACAAATGTTTGAAACAAAATCAATGAGATTATACACGTTTTGAGAATTTTCATCGCATACTTGAGTCAAGTTATTTTGCAAATTTACCTGAGGTAGAGGCCTTTAAGTCACTAAAATGTTGTTAAAGTGAAGTCAATACAGCTGCATTTTATCAGCTGATTGTTTAACTTCTTTAGCAGATTTTTTTCTTCATTAATTGAAGAGTAAAACACGAAGCTGTTTATAGATTCATTAAGACTAAATAAACCTCAATAGTGCTTTAATGTGTAAAGCAAACCTAACTTGGTGATAGGTTCATTATCATTCTCCAGAGAAGGCACATCTGCATCTTCATCATCATTCCTCACCACCTTCACCATTATTTAAATCAGATGTCATTTCAGTAGGTACACTAAATAAAGAAGGGTCACAGCACTTCCTCATAGCACCCAAAGGTAAAATGCCACATTGCTGGCTACAAGCTTTGTGATAAGTTTAATTGCAATTATTACAACAAACTGGGTTAGCTTAAAGAATTTTATTGGGATAACATAAACAGTCATCCTTAGTTGAATGCTCAATGAAATTTGCGCCTGTTTTGCGTTTCCTAGATGACATTTATTCTATATAAGTCACGTGCGAGAGATTATGCAATTTAAATAACAATAACACATCAATTTCTATCTTGATTATGAATGTAATAAAAGATAAAACGCCAATGAAAAAGTATTATATGCACTCCAAAAAACAGTTTTATAATATTAGTGAATCATTTAAAATTCATATATAATAATAAGCGTAAGTTACTGTGATCCTAACAACATTTTTTACATAATATAAATCTGAAAATAGCTACAGGTACTAGAACAAAGTTTAATAAAACATAAAAAAATCTTACCAACAATTCGCAGCATGTCCACAAAAAAATGGCACCTGAAGCCACATATTGTTTGGACTGCAGTCTGAATTTTCATTTATTACGCATTCATCAAATGTCTATTGCAAATTTAATATTAATTCCAATTCATATTATTCCATAAAAACAACTTACCATTGTATCACCATGCTTTCTTCTTACCAAATATGGTCGGAAATTATCACCATATCTTAAAAAATAATAATATGATACCATTCTATCTAGCGGCTTCCGAATTATGTTAATAAAAAATGGCTTGTTATTCCCATACCTATAATAAATTATATTATAAAAATGAAGTTAACTATACACCAAACAAATTACTTCTGAAAATCCAAAAAGGCAAAATGACCATGATAAAGGGCAGGCTTTAAAGAATCCCACTGCGATATGTTCCATGCTAACTTAATCTGATTACTTAAAGATAATATATGATTATTGGATGTGACATTAATGTGAACTACATGAAACTTATTTTGTTTGCATAAGTCATATGCAATTCCTACAAAACTAGTTGAAGCAGTTTTAGGAACCCTGTTATATATTACAACCAAATTGTCTTCATGGTTAATCCTGTTCCTCAAATAATTTTCTTCGTAACTTATTTTATTTTTGACGATACCTAAAGCATTTAATAGAATTTTTCTTTTCTACATTCACTTTATAGAAAGAGATACATCCTACCTATATTATTCACACGATCAAACAAGTAGGAAATTTGAAAGCCATAGTAAATTAACGTACAAATAGCTGAAACCAATATTATAATAGTTAACTTGCAATTCCAAATAGTGCACCAGCCTCTCATAATATTAATATAATGATATCACAATACTGTAATATAAACTTTCAAAATTTCATTCATTCTTTTTTACTTTTAATTAATATCCTACATATTGTTGACAGGTTTCAAACAATTGAAATCTATTAGACCATTATGAAAGCCAGGGAACCGATGGGACTGGATGGATCTGACCATAGAACACAGATTAGGAACTGGCAATAATAGTCATATGCTACCATAGACAATATGCTACTGTATGCTATAATCGTGTGAAACTGGCACCGAATATAAATAATCTGCTGATGCAAACTTTACCAATAAATGTGCGTCGTTTGCCAGTTGTTAGCACGTAAATAAGTAATTCTGCGTCTATTAGTTCTGTTAAAAAAAGGAAAACTGTTTCGGGTGCAGATGAAAATTAATTGTCAATTTATTCAAAAACTACTAAAGATAAGTTAATTTAATTGATGTTAATTGATTGCGTGTCATTTATGATTGAAGATTGAACTATTACGATAAGCGAAGTTTATTTTTATATTATTTATTAGTAATGATTACAAATAGTACTAAATTTTTCAATGGCATTAGTTAATCATATTATCTATGATTCACTAATAGCGCACGCGTGTCTTTTGAAGATTTCCCCTCCTCGAGGATAAACTAAACAAATTGGGACAGAGTGATGCGGCTGGTGCGTCCATAGACAGATATTAATGGACGTGCCTTAGCCCATCGACGTTTAGTAATGGACATGCCTTAGCGGTCAGAATTGTAAGCGTGTCATGAAAGACATTGCACTAGTCCGAAACCGGACGCCATCTCTCTCACTTTTCAAGCCAAGAATTATTACAACGATATACGGCTAAGGCACGTCCATTAATAAATGTCTACGCCTTAGCCGTAAGTCGTTGTAATAATTTTTTGGCTCAAACAGTGAGGGAGATGGCGTATGGTTTCGGACTAATGCTATCTCTTTCATGACGCTTACGCACTATCGTGAGAGAGATGGATATTGTCCGAAACTTGATTCCATCTCTTTCTTTTGTTGTACCACAATTCTGACCGCTAAGGCATATCTATGGCTAAGGCATGTCCATTAGTAAACATCGATGGGTGCGTCAGTGATTAGCTTGGACGAGTTGGAGCTGTCAGAGATGCTAGCGGAGTTCTTCCACAACGATCAGTTGTGATGAGGAAGACAGCACCGGTCGGTGAAAGAAAATCATGTGAAGGAAATGTAATCACGGAAAGGATAGCAGTGCCTGTAGCTAGTACATCGCGGAAGCCGACAGGGAGCGGTAAATCCGTAAATATGAAGTCTAAGAAGCGGACGTACAACAGAAGAGTGTCGGGCGATCCGTTGGATTATTTAAGGCTTGTGAACCAGGAGCTCGACCCACTCGAGCTCGAACCATTCGAGCTTCTATACGTACTTGCGACCAGATTAACCGATTCTAGCACAGAGGAGTAGGTAACACGAAAATGTCATCGATCGTAAACGTGTAACTGTTAAATGGTTACTGTTAAAACGGTTGCTGTTACTGGTCACATGATGTTATTGGCTCTTAGCGATGTCAGTGAGTGTAAGCATTAATACATATATTGTTGAATTTATACTAGAAAGAATGGGGATTTTGAAAATAAATTATTTGTTGGAGAGAGGGAAAGAAGTAGGGATACGTTTAGGAGGAGTAAAAAAAAGTTGGTTGAGTGGAAGGGAGTATAATTGAAAGACAACCAAAGGAGTGTTGTACATAAAAGGTAGAAATGTGAAAATTGAAGTGTGAGAATGGATTTAAGTAGCGGCAACTGTATCCATGAAGTGTGTGGTGGTGTACAATATTGGAATATTGTTGAACATGTGGAGATTTTGGACGAAGTACATCGTAATGTCGTGTTACATAGAGAAGACTACGTGGATAGACAGCAGTACAGTGAAAATAAAGCAATGAGGTATGTAAGTGACATCAGTCGGATGAAAGAGTGAAGCGTAGCCCGTAAACTGTTTGAGTGCAAAATTAACTATAAAGCATGTTCTGCTTACATGTTGTACTGCGATAGGAATAATCTTCCTTATCTACCTATGTGTGGGAGTTGCCGGTATGGAGCGAACAATGGTAGAATAATGTCGTTGTATACGCGAGTACCGAATTTGTGGATGTTAGAAGTTCACCTCCACGACGAAGTCCACATTCATTGCGGATGGTGCGGTGAAATTTGCAGTTGCGAATTTGTTTGCACCCATAACCATCATTTAAGGAGGGATAGTATATTTGAAAAAGATTATGTGAGGAAAATTTGTAATAATATCGTAAATGTTGATGGAGCTTAAACATGTATATAATCAATTTGTTCTGAAATAAATGATGATGTAATGTGGAAGTATATTTAATAATAACAACATGTAACAGTGGTATATATGTGAAGAAGTGTGTCAAGGTCAAAAGTGTGGAAAAGGAAAGTTTGGGAGGGAAAGGAAGGGAAAGGTAATGAGAAAAAAAGTTAGTGCAGGGATGGTGTCAGCATAATGGAGCGAAAGAGATGACGCCTTTGTTCTCCTGAAGTGCAGAGTAAGCAGGAAAGTGTGTGGGTATCATCGATCTCATAAAGAAGACCCGACTTTTCGCAGAGGTATGAGTGAACCCCCTGACGACAAGGTCGACAGCAGGAGTCCACAACATCGACGTGATACATTCTGCAGCTGTGACAAAAAAGTAGAGGTGTGTTATCAAGACATTCTTGTCAACAGAACCCTGTTGCAACGTTACTGCTTTCACGAAGACGTTGACAAATGTTGCATTGCAACCGGGTGATGGGTACAGTTGAATTGGTTGTTTGTCGGAATGCTGAAAGGACAATGGACACAAGAGAAAGATCCATTGTAAACCGCAAGACCCTTCTCATGAAGTGATGCTCTACAAAAGTTTCAATGGTTTATATTGGAAGAAAGGTGGTGGGGGGAATAGTGGGGATGATGAAGTATTATTAGGGAAGGAGTATAGCATAGTGGGGGATTAGGAAGGTAGGAGTGGTGACATAAGTATTTATGTAATGTTGGAACTGTAATAATTGTTTATTGGTGAAAAAGTGGAATAATGGAAGGAGCGTAGAGAAGATAAAATTTGTTATTTACAATGTACTACCCGTTTATGATTTTAATGGAGAGGTGTCGCAGAAAAAAAGTTATGACTATAGTAAATTTGGTGGAAGTCGATATGTTTCAAGTTAGTGTAATTAATGAGTTGGACGAGTGAGTAGTATATGAAAAGTTAGTTAATGAGATGTAGTATAAGAACAGAAGAAACATTTATAAAATCCCTCAACGTAATAAATGATGGGGGTAAAAGTGTAAAACGGACAATTTATTAATTTTTTTGAAGCATAAGGAGATATAATCTTGCAATAAGTTATGTTCTTAAAAGATGCTACCCAATAAATTATTGGAATCTCTAAAAAAAAAAATAAAGTTGACAAAATGTTAACACTTTCAAAGTTACTTAAAAAACAGAAGCAGTGGAAAAAAAAAGTGTTCCTCTTGTAAAATGTATGTTTAAGGGTAACTAAAATGATCCCACGTAAAAAAGTATGAGAATGTTTTTTTACATGGTTTACCCCCATACTTTTAGCCCCAGAAAGTGTATGAAGGGTGGACGATAGCGGGAAAATGTTTTAATAAAAAAAGTTTGCCTTTCAGTGAAGAACGTTTTCCATCCAGCGAAAGTGGTGAGCCGCTGTTATTAAGGAATTAAGTTTCTTCCCTTAAATTGTAGAATTAATTAGAGTTATAAGGAGTGATTTTAAAAAAAGAGACCCCTCTGCCACTGTTAAAGCTGAATTCACACAACTACCCCGTTCGGACTTAACGCCTCTGACCCCCCTCCACCCACCTCTGCCCCCCCCCAGTAACCCATTTCCCTATGATGTTTTCCAGCGGATTTTCTTCTCACCCCATTTTGCATCCCTGGCATACCTATACACAGCGTCTCCTAGGAAAGATAAAATCGTAAAAATCAGGTATCATCATATTTCATCGTTTACAGCTAATGTTATCTCCGTACTTGTTGCTGTATTACCACTTCTAACACCCCTTTACCTACCCCGTTTCCTTTTTTTTTCCTTAATTACGAAGTTTAATTACTACACCCTAATTATTATTAAAAACTAATTACAATACTATACATACTTACTAAAATTACATTTAACACTTAACCATTTACACACACTTTTTCCCCGGGTCTTTGGGTAGGTACATGCACCAACTGCTGTGCCAGCTTCTGCCCACCCACACAGAGCCCTCATACCTCGGGCGCTTTGTTTCCACCTCATGCCCTTCGAGACGCAACCTATCTTCTTCTTCCACCAGTTGCGCCTCTTTCTCCGATAGCTGCAGGATTTTTCTTTGAAGACGAGCGACCTCGTCTTCTAAAATGGTCCTGCACTTTCGCACTTGGGCAAGCTCTGTGCTCACGTTACCGCGAGCATCGCGCTTCCTCTCCCAAGCTGACGTCAGTGCCTCCATCTTTTCTCGCAAATGATGACCGGTCGGTGAAAGAAAATCATGTGAAGGAAATGTAATCACGGAAAGGATAGCAGTGCCTGTAGCTAGTACATCGCGGAAGCCGACAGGGAGCGGTAAATCCGTAAATATGAAGTCTAAGAAGCGGACGTACAACAGAAGAGTGTCGGGCGATCCGTTGGATTATTTAAGGCTTGTGAACCAGGAGCTCGACCCACTCGAGCTCGAACCATTCGAGCTTCTATACGTACTTGCGACCAGATTAACCGATTCTAGCACAGAGGAGTAGGTAACACGAAAATGTCATCGATCGTAAACGTGTAACTGTTAAATGGTTACTGTTAAAACGGTTGCTGTTACTGGTCACATGATGTTATTGGCTCTTAGCGATGTCAGTGAGTGTAAGCATTAATACATATATTGTTGAATTTATACTAGAAAGAATGGGGATTTTGAAAATAAATTATTTGTTGGAGAGAGGGAAAGAAGTAGGGATACGTTTAGGAGGAGTAAAAAAAAGTTGGTTGAGTGGAAGGNTTCAAACAAAATATGATTGTTTTAAAATATTACACAATACGGGACTTCGGCACTGCCGGCTTCCTAAAATTT